TCTTTAAAGGTAAATAATGTCAGTATTTAATTAACAATGATGAGTCGCGATTCTGGTGCAGACTGTAGTCTGATTTCCAATTGGAGTGAGGATGGATACTGTTTGCTTAATCTTCATGGCTAAGTTGGTACTTGTGCATCTAACATGGTTCAAAGACCCGTATGTGCTTTTAGTCGTCAATGCTGTTTCTTTGTTAAGAACATAACCATCTCTTCCTCCGTGGTGCCCGGCCCTGCAAGGCTTTTTACGAGAGGGTGTCATTCCAACCCCCCGCCTGCCATTCCCCCCTCCCTTGTTCCTCCTGTGTGAAATTCGGGAAGTTTTTATGACCTTGATTGCCTTTCTTTCATGCCCTCTTTCCTTTGAAATGAGGTGTGCGCAGATCTGTGGGAGTGTGGGGGCGTGTCCGTTCTCACGTTGCCGCGTCTTATAAAAAAACGATATTATATGTTGGCAGAATGATTCTTAAAAAAAAAAATTAAAAAAATTAAAAAGGGGGTATATACACAACACCGGACCAAAGCTATGAGGTTGTCCATAACATGATACATCACACAATCTAATGTGTACAGCTCAGATATAGTACAGGTGTGTGTAATAATGTTACATACCCTCACCATTTACTATAGCTGAGTAATAGACAGTGCATAGTTTGCTGTATAGTGTGATGTGTAATGTTGTTAGATATACCCCTACCATACGGTTTACCCGTATTCTTGTGTAGAGGAGTAGTTGGTAACGGAAGGTCACGCTCACCCTCCGGTGCAGTGACGTCACATGAAGTGACGTCAGGCGGATTTTCCGGTACGATGACGTTATGGGAAGTGGCGTCATGCACAGGGGGCGGGGCGGTGACGTCACGTCCCCCTGGAATACTTAAGCTGGAACCGGTGACGTGGGCGGGGTCGTCGTTAGAGCCGGGAACGTGGAAGGGTGGAAGTCGGGACCCAGGGTAGGGTAGCCTAGCACGAGGCTAGAGTGGCTGCTTCACCCAGCCGGCCGAGTTTGGCTTATCCCTCGGTCGGTGAAGTGGGAAGAGCCCGAGTAGTCTGTGTGTGTTAGGGACTCCCAGTACCCTATCCCTGGGGAGATATATATTAGCTCGTCCAACATAGGCGTAAGCCCCTAATAAACCCTGGCATGAGCCGCTACAAGACCTGCCTCTGCGTCGTCATATGGACCATAACACTTGTACAGGAAAATGGAGTAAAACTTTTTTGTCTATTTGTGTGTCTCCCTTGGGATGGGGACTTTGTAGGATGAACGCTGAGATTTATAAGGAACACGGGGTGACCAACAACGTCTGAATTGGTCTACAATAAGGTAGGGCACTGATAAGGGGTTGACAGCTATGCATACCTACACCAGGTGCTATATCTGAGCTGTAAACAGTGACGTTATTGTAGGAGAATGATGAGAAGTGTCTGTCTTCAAAGAAAAGTCACATCCTCCTTGGTCCTTTCGGTAAAGTCACGTAGGTATAAAATAAAATAAATCGCGACGTTTCGGGTGCAACACAAGCGGTCCGTCATCAAGTGACTTTACTGAAAGAACCAAAGAGTATAGATTCCTGCAGTCACGAAAGCTTCAAATCAAAATTAAAAGTCACATTGGTGATAAATCGTACATAGTGAAATTAAAGACATTGATGAGGCGTCAACCATTAATGTTGTGCAACAACAACAGCTGTGTATCAACGTGGTGCACACTCGCACGCCGTTTGCCACAACGCGGTACCGACACAGCCCATGGTAACATGGAGCCAAGTCGAATTGATCGCTGGCACTTTCTGGCAATCCCCCAAATGTAAACGGACGCACGGAACTACTAACTTTTATATTTATACTGTAGATGTCCACTAATGCAGGTTGGTTGGGTTAGATAGTTAACCCGAAAAAACTGTATAATGAATATTGGTCGCGAAAGTTTAACATGTTAAACTACTGTAGATGTGTTATGGTGATTTGTTTACTTTTCTTGTACTTGCACTATTATCATGTTTGTGTACTGTTTATTGTTGTAATGTTCTCACCCCGTACCCCTACTGGACATCTGTTAAAAAGAGCTTTACACTTAAAAGGATTCCTGGTGCAGTATACATATTCTGATTCTGATGTACGTCAGTCCAAAGATGCCAAATTGACATCTATTTTCGATGCACAGCGGTCAAACCACTCATTTACAATGCTCAGAGCTGGACTTTGGACGAACTAATCGCAGAACCAAACTCTGTATGCGTTCATGCCTGGCATTGAAAAATGGGCTTAAACCAACAACTTGTTTCACCGGAGTACCGCGTTTAATCACAGGCAAATGCTTGGAATCGAAAACCCACATCTCAGGATGTGTTATACAGGTAGGAACAACAGTTCCACACTGCCCACCAGGGATTATTTGTCTGTCTGTCTGTCGTGAATAACCACGCTCTCGATTTGTATTTTATAGAGCGCGTTGGGCGGGCTCAGCACCACGTGACGCACCGCCCCACGCAGCTTGCGCCGCGTGACACGGATCGCACGAATGCGCTGTCCAACCAAGTTCCTAACGGCCCACTCCGAAGGAACGTGTTTTTCACGATTGTGATCATGTTCTTACAAAGTCCATTGTTGGCACTGGTTAAAGCCAATGGCGCGAATCTACAGGTACATCTAGACAGGTTTGTGTGATGCGGGGCTTGTTTTTACATTCCTTAAACATCTCAGCACATTCCATGGGGTGCCTCGTGAGGTTTGTAACCCAGTGTAAAGTAATTTTACATCCACGTTTCTCGTCTGTGAGCCTTGATTAAAATATGCATGACTCACTATCTATACACTACTCACCACCCCATATCCACACACACTACTTACCATTCACACACTACTCACCACCCCATATCAACACTACTCAGCATCCGATATCGACACACTACTCACCATCCACACACTACTCACCATCCACACACACTATTCACAATCCGATATCCACACACATTACTCACCATCCACACACTACTCACCATCCCATATGCACATACACTACTCACCATCAACACACACTACCCACCACACACACCACGCACCTGCTGCCATGCACCAGGGAGAACATCTCCCCCAGGAATAAACCCGTTTCGCAGATATTCTGATGGAGAGAATGAGACCAAGAAAGAACTGCAAAGCATAAACACATATCCTCGCAGAAGGAAGAGGCAATGACACAAACGAGAAAAAGGCAGCGCCAACCGACTCGCCCTCGCCTTAAATGGACTCGCTCCTCCCTACATTCAAGACCTCCTTCAGCCACGAATATTGCATCAAGATCGTCAAGATCCTCAGCTTGTGCATTGCTCACCGTCCCACGGTCTCTAGGCTACACACGTGGGGGGGTGACGGTGCCTTGGCAATCGCGGCACCTAAACTCTGGAATTCGTTGCCCTTGGAGGTCAATGGGGACTTCCGAGACACTGCTCATCTTCACATCTCCACTAAAGCCGTCTCTGTGTAAAATGGCTTTCTCCCTTTAGTGATGTTCCAATGTCCTTCTCACTTCTTTCCTCGGGTGATGTTTACTATTTTCTGCCATTCCATGCAGAGCGCCCTGAGAGTGATTGTTTAAGGGCGCTTTGTTAATCTAAATAATAATTAAATGATTATTAAATCGTTTTTATTAAATTATTATTACTTGCCGGACACGCCAGTTGGTTCAGGGCACGGGGCACTTTGTAAATGCAAATTATTATTATGAAGTTATTATTAAATAATGATGGCAGCAGGTTTATTGAATTATTTTAAATTCATAGTATTACTATATGGCATCATCAAATTATTATGTATCATTACTAAATGCTGTTATGAAATGATTATTGTTATTTAATAATTATTACTAAATTGTTATTTAATTATTATGGGATTCTTAGGAACAAAAATACTTAAAAAATTATTAAATAATTATAAAATCACCATTTACTTATTATAAAACTATTCTAATAGTTAATACTTATTAGCACTATTGGCTATGGACGTTGTGAAAGAAGACCAACATACATGAAATAAACCACTGCGACGACGATCTGCGCTTGTGTCTTTGTCTTTATAATTTCTTCCACAGCTGGACAGCACCGCTCTCTCTCTGGCACGGCTGCACTCCGTTCCACACGGCTGGTGGTTACTCGCCTCTCTCTCTCAACAGCTCCCGCGCGCCGCTGACAGGCGGTGCGCTGGGAGGAAGCCTCCGGCCTGCCACGTGGCCGCTCGCTTCCCGGAGGCGAGCGACATGGTCCCACTCTCTGACTCCACGCACTGACCCCGAGCTCTCTTCCGCTTCCCCTTATATCCCCTGGCCCACGTCACCAAGCCCCGCCTAAAGCCACGCCACCTCACGAACCTTCGAGATGGTTACTTCCCCCGAGCCTTTTGAGCTCCGGCCCTAACCTCGGCCCATCCCTCTAATTGGGTGATGGCCCAAGCGGCGGAGCCTATCCACTGATCGGCGCTCATCGATTAACTCTCGTATTACACATACACACAACCACCATCCACATAGAATAAAGCGGTCTCCTAGGAATTTCATGAATAAAAACAATATTTGACAGATGAACAGAGGATGCATGAAGCCAGTAGTTAAAATAATTAGTTGATAAAGGTTGAAGACGATTAAATACTGTGAATCTTAAACAAACAGGCCTTGCAAGAAAAAATAGAAAAAGACATATGGGGAAAAAAACCTGTTAACCTTTACATCACAATGTTTGTTCAATGTGCAGTTCCACTGTGGCAATGCACACAGCCTGACCCTACCCGGTCAATCAGCCTGTGGGACAAACTATTATCAATGCGTCACGGGCTGCTGCTGCTGCCTTTTGTTTGTAGAAACCTAACACAGTGCGTGACTGTAACGTGACGTCTGCACAGGTGAGCGCTGCATTGTGGAACATTCAAGGGCGTGTCTCGGGATATTTATAACTTAACTGCAGGTGAAGTCAGTTCATTTCCCTGCTCGTCTCCGCTGTATGAGCTGCGGACACAGCGTCGCCTGAACAGAACACATCTCGTCAATTATATTCAACATCTCAAGAGATTATGAACGTAAAAGCATTTTTTTAAATATATTTTTCCAAGTGATAGGCAGCGACTAACTTTGGGTGCATCCTCGGGTCATGGCGAGCGCAGCTCCTGCTGAGAACGTGGACCGTGAGTTGACCTGCACCATCTGCCTTGATACGTTTGACTGCCCCTCCACGCTCAGCTGCGGCCACTCGTTCTGCCTCCAGTGCCTGGAGGACGCCTGGAAGGAGACAGACTTCTACTGCTGCCCGCAGTGCCGTAAGACCTTCCCTCGACGACCCCAGCTGACCAGGAACGTGACGCTCGCCAACCTCATAGAGCAGCTGCGAGTGACTGAGACCATGGCTACTGTTTCTGCTGCTCCTGCTGGTGTTGTTTTTTGTGAAAACTGCCCAGAAGGCAAGACGCCTGCAGTGAAGACCTGCCTCAAGTGCGACACGTCATTCTGCACGGAGCACCTCGCGCCTCACCTGGAGAATAAAAAGTTTAATGACCACGTCTTGGTTTCACCAAATGTAAACCCTGAAGTCCGCAAGTGCAAGAGGCACAAAGAGGAGCTCAAGTTCTTCTGCAAGCAAGACCTCAGCCTCGTATGCAGGGACTGCATCATCACAGGAGACCACACGGGTCATAAGTTAATCACACTGGAGGATGAGCATCAGACACGGAAGGTGAGGCTCGCGTGGGTTTTGTGGGAGCCACTCAGGAGCGAATGAGAAAACCTGAGCTTAAAAAGTGCAACAACAACATACTCTTGGGTTTTTTTGGTAAAGTCACGTAGGTAAAAATAAATAATAAAAATAATAGAAATATAATTATTCTTATTTTATTTTATTTCTATTATTATTTCTATTATTTTAATTATTTATTTTTACCTACGTGACTTTACCGAAAACACCTAAGAGTATGAATCCTTGCAGTCACGAAAGCTTCAAATCTAGAATCAACAACAACATCTCATTAAATCAACACCATCAGGATGGGATGATTCTCTCTCCACGCTCTTTTTTCTTTCAAGCCGACTTCCTTGGACTCATTTTTGGTGGGCAGTTATAGAACGATCACTGTGGAGGGCTCCGTGTGGAGTGGGGCTGAGAGGGAGCAGCTAAGGGAGTGGAGTCTCCTCTTGTGACTTCGTCTCTTACAGAGTGGAGTCGGAGAAGAAACGCGAGCGGTGGAGGAGCAGAGGAGGAAGGCGGAGGCGTCCGTGGGACGGATGGAGGCCACTCGCAAGGTCGTGCAGGTACCACACGTGGCCTTTGTAACCCTGTGACCTCCACCCTGCGTGGAGTCTATGACTCTCTCCCTGTGAGGACAACTCCGTAGATTCAAGTGAACTTTGTTAGTCTTGAGTCAGTGTGTAAGAACTGTGCAGGATGTTGCATATAAAGGCTATGGGTGCTTGACATATAAATGAGAAAAAATGTCACATTTATATAATAAAAGTTCAAGTCTCGTGAGACTGCACAGCATTTAGCAGGTTAACTCCAATGACTGGCAATGGTTGAGATAAAATAAAGCAGACTGGAGCAACGACTGCATTGAATTATGAACCAGAAATTAAACGAGAGAAGATTAAGATGATATTACAGGAAACCGGCTGTCAAATGCTAGAATAAACACAAGAGACGCGACTTCAAGAGAGTAGGGAATGCTGGAAAACACTTTTGCTCTCATGGCATGCACCCAACTCTCAACTAACATAACATAGAGTCTGACTATTTAAAACATTTAAAATTGATTTTGCACGAATCGTGATGTATTAGTGATTAACTCTTATTGCCGTACATTTTATCGGTCAGTATAATTAGTAATTGTCTATTTTTGATATGTCTTCAAGGATAGTGCTATGAACCTGTTTGTATTTTCGCATGCAGAATTATCCATTGTAATGCAGGGCATCAGGTCAGCTGCTGATATTCATAATAAAAAAACGTAGAGAATATTAGTAACAAAAACAGATAAGCAGATTAAACGTCTCCATCACATATCTGCCTCTGTATAAAAATCATGACAAAAAATGTACACATGCCATCAGCCCCACGACGTGGGAGTGCATCGTTTCAAAGTATTCGGTTAAAGCAAACTATGGACTGATTTCCACACCCAGTGTCTCGGTATCAGAGTCAGGCTTGCTTGAGGTAATGTTGATGTACTGCTCTTAGTTTACAGGCAATTACTGTTTCGTAATGATACGGGTTCTAGTTAGATGCCAAATTATATAATACCAAACACAAACATAATAATTAGACTCGTTGCGGAGAATATAACTAAAGAATAAAATAAACAGACATTTTAATTTCCTTACACATCTGTCTCAACCTAATACATAAATTCGTAAACATCCCATCGGCTCCACAGTCTTCTGGGAGTGCATCATCTGAGCAGCATTGATTCCATAGCAGAAACGCTGGACTGGTTTATGCATCAAATAACTTTTTTTTGTCGTCTGACAAAGATCCATATCACAGAGGATCCTTGTCTATAGCATCTAGCAGTTCACCTTCGTTAATTCAAGCGAGCCTGACTCTGCTGATGAGACACTGCATGCCAAAACCGGTCCAGAGTTTACTCGCACTGAATGAATACAGTTATGCTAGAGTTTCAAGTAAATTTTAAGGTTGCAGAACTGCTACCGCAGACGTAAGCACTTTGACCGGGTTCTCAACACCGGTTTATCACCGATGGGGGATTCTTGTGGCCCTCTGGGCATTTTCCCCGAAGCACAATTATTTTGGCCGACTGCTCAGACACGTCGGACACACCAGACCCCGGCCGTACAGGACATTGGGACGAGGTGTCTGGGCAGGGGATGTGCGTATGGCTTGAGGTGTGATGGGTGGATGAACCAACAGTGATGCCCTGCCTGTATTCGCACGCACTGCCGCCATTTCTCCTCTATTTTTTCCTGAGGTCGTACCAAGTTGAGCCTCTATGGGGGGTTCATTTTCCCGTCCATACATTAGAAAAAAGGGGAGAATCTCGTAGATGCGTGTGGGGCCATTCTGTATGCCGCCAGGATCCCCGGGACATGCAAGTCCCAGTCCGTCTGGGCCTCATTAACCGCTTGACAGAGCACAGATGTTATGGTCCTGTTCAAGCATTCTACCATTCCATTCGTTTGAGGATGGTATGGCGATGTTCTAAATTTTCTTGTACCAAATGCGTCACACACTTCGCGCAACAGTTTAGACGAGAAATTTCGACCCCGGTCAGTGAGAAGCTGCTCTGGGGCACCCTTGTCTAACATGTGGCCGTGTAGGAATGCACCCGCAATGGATGCAGCTGTTTGGTCCGGCAATGGCCAAGCCATTGGCCACCGAGTAAAATACTCCAACCCCACCAGGAGAAACCTGTTCTCCTTTTGTGAACATGGAAAGGGTCCCACGATGTCTAGCACAACCAATTCATCGATTTGGGACACTGTGATGGACTGCAACAGGGGCTGATACCTTTGCAATGGGGCTTTCGGTGCACGCACTCCGTGCCACCTGCGACGAGGTGATGAACATAGGTCGACTTTCCTGGCCAATAAAAGTCCCGTTGCAAGGTCTGATGCCCAACGTGCAGCAGCTTAGTTTCATGCACGGCTCGCGTCAGCTTACCCCCCGCAGGGAAGTGGGGACCACTAGGCAATGATGGTGTCAAACCTCATCTTAGTGCATTAACAGTCCTTCATGGAGAACAACCCGCGAGATTCCCGCAGAGGCAGGAGCATAGTGGTTTGTTTCCACGCACCGCCGCAAAGCCAATAATAACCGTAATCCACCTGCAGCTGCCCCCATTCTGCATGCGTGAGCCCAAGTGCTGTCTCTATGAATAACCACCCTGGCTGGTTCTGCATCACTCAGTCAAGCTACGACCATTGGCAACCCAGCTGCGGGTGGTTTACACCGCCCAGCGCCCGACGCACATGCACACCGTTCTTCATGAGGCAACCGAGACAATGCATCCGCGTTACAGTGTCTTACACCTTTCCGATAGACTACCTGGAAGGATTATTCCTGCAGCATTTCTAGCCAGTGTGAGAGCTGGCCAGAAGGCTGGTCTACTCGCAGGAAGTACTGCAGAGCCGCATGGTCCATGCAGACCCCGAAGTCCCTGCCATATAAGTAAGGCTTATACTGCTGAATGAAGCAGACCATTGTCAGAAGTTCCCGGTGGGTAACACAACACCACTGCTCAGCCGGCGACAGGACGCGACTACCATATGCAATGGCCCTTTCAACCCCACCTTTCACCTCAGACAGGACAGCCCCTATACCTAGGTCACTGGCCTCCATGTCTAAAATAAAGGGCAGGGAGAAATCAGGATAAGCCAACGGAGGCGCGTTGGAGAGGCGATCGTGTAGCGCAGGGGTCGGGAACCTTTTTTACTGGGAGAGCCATAAAAGCCAAATATTTCTAAATATATTTCATTGAGAGCCATATAGTATTTTTAACGTATAATAAATTAAATATGTCTTACTTTTAATGCGACTTCTGGTCACGGGACCCGTGACCCGTGAAATTTATCTTCAAAACTAATTTCTGTTTACTTTCAAATGACACAGTATTATTAAGCAATATTACAAGTTTTTTTTTTAAATCCGTTCCAAACTGATTTTATTTTATTTTTCAACTCAAAATTGTCTGGGAGCCATATGCCGTCACCGGAAGAGCCATATATGGCTCGCGAGCCATAGGTTCCCGACCGCTGGTGTAGCGTAACAAATGCTTCCTCCTCCTCCCCCCATTTGACCTTCTGTTCTTTAGCAGTCAAAGCATGCAAGGGTTTTGCAATGGTCGTGAACCATGGAACAAACCGTCGGTAATAGGACGCAAACCGGACAAAACTGCACACTTCACCCACAACCTTGGGGGTCGGTCAATCTGGTTCGCACGCTGTTTTGTCGGGGTCCATAGCTATCCCGGAAGCGCTCACATTGTCGTCCAAATATCGTACCGAGGTTTGTAATAAATTATATTTAGCGGGTTCTAATAAAAAAATAGCTGAATGTACCCTGGATAACACCACTCACAACAATTGCAAATGCTCCTCGACCGTGCGACCAAACACAATAACGTCATCCAAATAAATGAGGCATGAGTCCTATTGAAATCCTGCTAGAACCAGCTCCATAAGCCTCTGAAATGTGGTAGGCACTGAATGCAATCCCATGGGAATACAATTTAACTGATACAGTCCGTGAGGCGTTCGAAATGCAGTTTTTAGTTTAGTTGATTCGTTCAGGGGTAATTGCCAATACCCTGACAATAAATCCAATGTCGAAAAAAATGAGCGCCTGACAACACATCCAGAGAATCGTCCACACGCAGAAGCCGTACATCCTGATCTCTGGACTGCACATTGCACTACATCGCACTACCACACTGTTTTAAATATCTTATTTCTTTAAATACTTTATTTAAATAATATTTTACATTTGAAAAATTCTTGACTGTTGTTTATTTTAAGTCTATTACATTTTTGATTATTTATCTTGTGTTGATCGCCGATTGTTTATTGTTTATTTATGTCTGTTAATTGTGATTAATTTTGTAATTGCTTGGTTGCACCGTGGGACCAAGAGAGAGGACTGTAATTTCATCTGTGTTGTATGTCATGCATGTAACACACTTGACAATAAAGTGACTTTAAGACTTTAAGACTTTTTAAGAAGCCGATATGCCTCTGCCACCAAGACCTTGTTTAGTTTCCGAAAAAGGACGCAGAACCTTAGACTCCAATCCGATTTTTTCACCAGCATTATAGAGGCTCCCCAAGGTGCTGGTTGATGGTGAAATTATCAGCCGACAACATTTAATCCACCGCCAGTTGTACATGCTCCTTTTCTACAGGACTCATACGGTATGAGTTCTGGCGAATAGGAGCTGCGTCACCCGTATCAATATGGTGCTGCAGCAGCGATATACGGCCAATGTCAAACTTACCCTTACTAAAAACGTCCGAAAATTGCAGGAGCAACGACCGCAATTTGCCCCGTTGTGCCTCAAGCAAATCCGGATTTTCGTTCCATAGTGTTTCAGCCCATTTCCCATTCGACTCGGCCCTTTCTACCACCGCATCCACAATATCCATCGCCACCGAGTCAACCGCCTTGCAACACACAGCCGTCGCGTGAGCCTGGACCACAGCCGTCCCCACACCTACATTTAACACGTACAGAATTGGCACCTGGCTCACCTGCAGGATCGTCTGCGTGCCCAACAGCGGAATCACACGGATCGACAGTGTTGGACAGTGTAAGGAAAACTCCCGCATCGAGGTCAGCTAAATCTAATCATTTGCGGTAACGCAATGGGACGAAGATTTGCATGCCTGGCAGAATCTATACCGATTCCCTAACCAAGGCCTGGACTTTTATGTTTGTATCTGACTCACTGCGAATGGAGTAAGTGAAACAATTGATGGACCAGAAATGCATTATAATGCTGTCCCCTGACAGCATTATAATGCATTTCTGGTCCATCAAAATATTAAGGGGCAATTTTCTCAAAAAGTCGGTGCTCAACAGGCAAGGCACAGCCAGTGTCTTAGAAATCAAAACAGGCCCCGACATTGCAATTTCCCAAATCCTTACACATGCCTCGAGCTGCCCCATGATTCTCATGCTCCCACCGTTAGGTGCCACACACGCATTCACTACCGGAATCACATAATGAGCATGTGACGGCAACATGTCATACATAATTTCCGAGATAATGGTGGCCGAGGCACCAGTGTCGATCAAAACGCGCACCTTTACCCCCTCAATGGAGCTGGCCACTGCTGATGTGTCTGCAGCAGCTGCCACCACCCAGAAAGCCAACCTTTTCCATTCAATGCCCGACTTGGGACACCCTCCTGACAACTAATGGATGTGAGTGAAAATGAAACTTGGAACACCGGATGCCCAAGATGCTTAAGGTGGTGTTTCGGCCAGGGTGTCTGGTGTGTCGCGACTTGCCTGCTATGGCTGTGGCTGTGGAGCAGTCATTGGTGGGAAGGTGGATGCCGGCAATGTCGTCGTTGGTCGGGCGTCGCACCGGCATCTCCACGCGATGTGTCCTGGCTGTTTGCACTGGAAGCAGATGATGGCGGGACCCCACTTTGGAGGGGTCGCCTCCTCCCTCGGCCCCCAACCTCGAGGCCATCGCGATGTCTCCCTTTGCCGCTGAGCTCAGCCTTGCACCGCCACCGCCACCTTCTTCCCCTGCTCCGGATCCTCCTTCTGTTTATATAAAAAATCACATATCAAATGTCCCAAAAGTAGTAGCGCATTTATTCAAGTGTACCATTGCCGCGTCTGATATGTGCGTGCGAGCAACGTGAACATTTGGCGTAGCAGACGGAACAAAAGCTGGAAAGTGTGCAAAGCAGCGGGGAGAGGCGCATCCTCGAAATGACACTGAGACTGAAAGAGGGACACGTGGATGAGAGGACATGGACAATAACGAGACATCATTCACTGTTTATGTACGTGTGTTGAAATTCTTTTGCACCGTACGTGGCCAACCGTGCTCATTGGATGTGTGGGGGGGGGACGGACAACGCACTAAACACAAAAAACAGTTCTAAAGAAATTAGTTTTCGTTCTCCGCTGACCGGACTGTTGAGGCTTTGCCAAACACGGGCTCATCTGCCCATGCCACCACTCCAGGGGACTGGTGCATGCTTTCATGTGCCTGCAGGCACCTGGCCACCCACAGATAGGTCTGCGCCTCCTTCTCCATGATGAGCAATATGACTCCCATCTCCTGCGCCAACATCAGCATCTTCTTCATGGCTAGTGAGTCCAGCGCTGTCTTGTCCAATCGCAGGTTTGCCGCCTGCCCGAGTGCCATCAACGCGCTATGGTAAGCGAGGGGCATCTCAGCCTCTTCCCGCCTCCGCTGCAGGAACTTCCTCCGTCTTTTGGATGGAGTATCTCCCCATTTGCCTGTTGAAGAGTGGCCGTTCGTCCTTCAGGCATGGCTCAGAACGCCGCGAGGGCATCGTCATCAAGGGCGGTCAGCAAAGCCCTCAGTGCTTCCCCCTCTGTCCAAGCTATTTCTTGATAAGCTGCCTCAAACTTACGGGTGAAAGTGGCCCAGTCACCTCCTGCTGCCATAAACTCGTTGACGGGAGTCATCCGTTGTGGACGGTCCGCTGCTCTCTCTTGTGCCGAGGGGGCTGCAGCTGAATGGCGGCCGTCGATCGTGCAGATCCCGCAACTCCCCCTCTCGCCGCAGCCACGCCCAACTGCAAGATGAGCTGTGCGACTGCCGCCAATAGTTGGTCCAGCCATCCCACCACCTCGCTCCACCCCTCCGTGATTTTTGGCTGCTATCGTTCGGCCCCCTCCCTCCACATTCCCGCCACAGCTTCTTCTTCACCTGCGGGGTTGCTGACCGAGACCCTGCCTCCTTTGGCTGACTGAAGGGGGGTCTTCTCCGCGTCCTCTCCCTCGTTTCAGGTGGCTTTTATCTCTGGTTATAATGTGACACGATGATACCACCCTACTTCTGACACCAGTTGTAACAACTCCAGGAGACACTACTCTTGTGATGATATTTAGTGAAGACACCTTCACATGACAGGCGAAGACGCCGACTCCATCAGCAGCTTCAAGCCTCTCCTCTCGACCCATTTTATCCCTAGCGTGGCCTATCCCTTGACCTTCGGCCATGACCCTTCTCCAGAACCTTCTGGATGGCTCTATACCCCTGATCCGCACCTGCTCCCTTCTCTCACTTGGCCACATCCCCTATTCTCGATCCTTCTCCTAGACCCCAAAATCCTTCCCTGTCTGTCCCTTAACCTGTCATTACCCCCTGTTGCCCCTAGTCTTTTCCCATGCTAACTCCCTGGTCATTACTTCCTGTGACAGCTAATCCCCTGTACTGTTTTTACACATATTTGGTAGTTTTGTTCAAAAAGACGTTTAGGATGAAGGTATCCAGGGGGAACAAATTAGAGGTGAGTGGGCGGCCAGGTGGTATAATGGAACAAGAGGCGAGGCAGTCGATGATTTCACAGGAGTCAAAAATAGGGAGTATGGCGGCTTGGACTATATTATTACTGGCCATATGATCAATGTGGAGGACAAGATAACACCGAGATACTTAAAGTTATTGATCTGCTCAATGGCAATCCAGCGACAATGTCAAGGCAGCGAAAACTAGGTTTGAAGTTTCCAGAAAACAATGTGACTTTGTTCTTTACATAATGGTATATGAGTTGATAGAATGCATCCCACGCCCCTTGCAGAATTCCATGGTCCAGACCAAGGCTCGCATCTCAGGCGAGTTCACCCGCATGAGGGCGATGCTGGATGAGGACGAGAGGGCAGCTCTGGACTGCGTGGACTTGAAGGGGCGTGAGCTGCTGTCCCAGATCGAGGAGAACATCGCTCATTACCAGCGCGAGATCAGTGACCTCATGGCAGCAGCCACGCGCCTGCGCGCTCTACAAGAGGAGAGGGACTCGCTCACGTTCCTGCAGGTAGAACACTCACAGAGCCAGGGCGAGTGCCCAGTTCGCGTGTTCATTACATTTATAAACGAGACACATGCAATGTAACACAAAGCACAAGATAACGCAACTTGTATCGTCAACACAACCCATAGCACATGCATTCTGAAATTAAATGTATAATCAATTTCACCAACGTGGATTTGTATATTAGATGTTCACCCTGTTAAACTATAGACTCTGCTAACGCGACGCGCTGGCTGTAATTCACCCTCACAGTGCGTACTTATTTAGAATGTTGGTTCACAATCACTGCTAATCGATATCGAGTGCTACAGACGCCTCTTCCCATGACATCGGGAACTGAGTGGCAACTGTTTGGGAGGCCACACCTTGCTGATGAAAACCATCGAGTTCACAACCAACAACACTGGGATAAGCGAATGGCTGAGCGCAGCCTCCTCGCGTCTACAAATCACCGTGTGATTAACGTGGCTGGAGGTGAACTGACTCGCGCCCCCTGTGTCTGACTCCTGCAGGTTCACCTGAAAGAGACAAACCGGTATGGACTCATGAAGTCACACAGATTAACATACGGGGTGACGCCTTGTGTGGGACATTGGTTGCGTGATGATGATGATGTGTGGTATGATCCTGTGAGTGATGGTATATGTTGATGCTGTGTGATGATGTTGTGCATGATGATGATAATGTGTGGTATGATGCTGTGTGAAATGATACTAAATGATGGGACCTTTTTGCCAGTATGATAGTATGAAAAATAAGAATAGGTTTTACCCTTTCTGGCAATAAAACAGTTGTTAAGATATTCAAGCGGCAATTCGACACGTACTTGTGATGAACCTGCAAACAAACATGCTCACTGGTCGCCTTTTGGCGTTCTCTGGTCTGACACTGGTGAGACTCGGCCATAAAGAAGGCCGTCTCTGTTCTAGACCAATCAGTTTCAAAGGCATTGCATCATATATATTTATCTGACAATGTTCGTTTGCATTTAAACCACAAGTAGGTGTGGTTAATGCAGATTGTATTCCTTACAAAAGGTTTCTATTTGGTGTTTGAACATCAGAGCACCTAGTTTATTGCCAGAAAGGGCAAAACTTATTCTTATTTGTCATGAGATGATGCTGTGTAACACACGGGTTGTGTGAGTCACTGCTGGTTCTGGTCTCACAGGAGATACGCTCAGAAGGGATCTCTACCCTCATCTCCCAGTGAAAAAGATATCGCCTCGATCATCACCCTGCAGGGAGCTGTGGTCAACCTGCTGGCATTCATGTGTGAGTTCCACGGACTCTTGCTACGTGTGCATCTGTTATTGTGCACATAATTGCGCTTGTACATGTATGTTGTAGAGCGGTAGTGTCGTGGTTAGTGCACTGTGCTACGAACCTGGCGTCCCGAGTGTGAATTCCGCTCAAGGCCAACACCAGTGATGGGTTATCTGAACCGGTCCTGGACCTACCGTAGGTCGACTCAGCCTCAAATGAGTACCTGGTGCGGTGTGTAAACATCACCACTGGTGGAGACAAAGGCGGCCTGACGTGGTGCTGGCCACTCACCCCCTCGTGTGCCATGCGGGCCTTCATTGACACTTACTAACAGAACTTTACATAAAAGTCAGTTGAGGATATACGGAGGTATCGTATCTTTGTAATAGTGTATAGATCTATATTGAACTTCTTTCACACCAACCATGCTAACCGGAGGTGTATGGGTTTATGGATGAGCGAGAGTGAGTACGGATGTCCAGTGAAGGTGGGATGGTTTGTGCACTGATATACAAACATGGTCACCAACAGACTATTCACGGCCATGGCTAACATCAGTGGTGAGTGTATTCAGAACCAATTTTGGAGCTCTCCTAGGTCCACTCAGCTTAAATGAGTACCTAGTACGTCTTGTAAAGATCGCCACTGCAGACACAAAGGCTGCCTGTAGGATTTGTATGGTTCAATTATAAAAACACACAGGACCCCATTCAAACCCAAAGTGGCATGGTCTCAGCTAGCTGATGAAAGTTGCAAGCGAGAATGTCATCATCGCTTGTGGCTGTGGTTGGCATCGCCCCCCAATCTTCCAGATGTCGAGGGGAAATGGGCGATGTTAAGGACTGTGGCTCATGCAGCTGCAATGGCTGTTTTGGGTACACGTTCAGACCGCCCCAGAGACCCTGGCTGACAGAGGAGGTGTTCAGGATGGCTGAGAAAAAGCGAAAAGCCCACTCTCATCGTTTACAGCATCCCACGTCAGAGAATGAGGAGGCTTACCACAGCCTTCGCTCGGAGGTTCAGAGAGCCGTGAGGTGCTACAAGGATGGGTAGTGGTCGCGGGTTGCTGATGAGATGGAGTCTGTCTCAATGGCTTGCGATCCCAAATCGCTCTTTAACTCCATCAAAAAAGTTACCTGAAGCATCACACCTATTACGATCATTAGGGGAAAGAACGGTGATCCAATCTCTGAGCCCAGGAACAGGTTTGCAGATTTGCTGAGAATTTCTGTGAGGTCCTCGGAGAGGGAAAATCCCTCAGCCTGGAAAACATCGTAGGACAAAGTGGAGATGACCCCTTGTGAGTGGCCGGCTGAGGTGCCATCTATTGGGGAAGTACTGACGGCGATCCAGAGTCTGAGACCAGGAAAGATACCGGGCAGAGATGATCTCCCAAGCAAAATGCTGAAGGAGGATGGCATTTGTGCACAGACTGTCTACATGACATCATAACAACAGTCCAGACCACTGGACGGGTTCCACAGGATTGGAAGGATGCCCTGGTGGTCCCCCTCTTTAAGAAGGGGGACCGCACAGACTGTAACAACTACAAGGGCTTCTCACTCCTCAGTGTGCCGGGACAGGTTCGGCAAGGATTATTCAACATCGCCTTGCCAGGCACGCTGAGGAGAGGCTTGCGGAGCCCCAATAAGGATTCAGGAAAGGGCGGTGCTGCACAGATGCATCAGCCAGTCATCTCAGTCAGTCGACCCGTGGCACCTGGATCTGTCCCGTGACCTCCTGCCAGCGGACGTTCGACACTTCACGTGGCCTCAACGTGCACATAGCCTGGCACAAGCGTCGTGGTGACATCACCGCCACTTAGTGGCGATTTGCGGTTGTTGTTGTTTTTCACAGAGACATTATGGTTGAGATTTTTAGGATTCATTATTAGTCCTTGAGACTGCGATTTCCAGACTCAGACACAGTTAGGATTCTTAGGGTTCAGTGTTAATGCCTAAAGCTCTCAGAATGAAAGGCACCTTTAGGATTCTTTGTTAATATTCAGAGGTTTATCAGACAAACAGCCAAGGGCTTCACCCTGGTTGACCGTGTAAATCACTGCATAGGAACAAAGGTAAATTACTATAGATCGTTTATCAATATACCGACACATTAACATATACTGTAGCACACACACAGATGAGTGTAAATCACTATAACAAGAGGTCTATTAACACTCCACGTGTGTACGATTGAGTGAGGATGCTGTTTCTAATTTGCGTGTGAGTCTTTGACACACACACGCTTTGCTGATATTCTTAGGATTAAGAATGATTAGTGCTTGAGGCAGCGAGATACAGACACCTTGCGGATTATTATGGTTCAGTGTTACAGCCTGAAGCTCTCAAGGCAACTTTAAGTTGTATTAGACAGCCAGACCAAGGCGTAACCTGATTTGCCTGTGTAAATCACTACACAGCCAACACACAAGTTAATTACAAAAGAACACGTATCAATATATACCGATACGTTTATATAGACAGAGATCCCTCGTATAGCTTTAACGGACTGTTGGGGCAAGTGCTCTTAGCTCGCACCTATGAAGGCCAGCACGGCACATGAGGGGTGGGTGACCAGCACCACGCCCGACCACCTTTGTCTCCCAAGTGGCAATGTTTACACACCGCACCAGGTACTCATTTGAGTCTCAGTCGACCTAGGGGAGACCCAGGACCGATTCCGATAATCGTCACTAATGTTGGCCGTGAGCAAGATTCAAATTGGGGTCACTGCGCTAAGTACTGTGCTACCACTCTCCGCGACCATTAATCAATGTTTATGAATAGCACACACACACACGAGTGCACATCACTACAGTACTGCTACAGTATTACAGTGGTTAGTGCGCTGCGCTACGAACCTGGCGACCTGAGTTCGATTCCCGCTTACGGCCGACACCAGCGGTGGATTATTTCAACCGGTCATGGGCCTCCGCTGGGTCGACTCAGCCGGGTTTTCCTGGATGTTTCTGTTGCGTGTCGTCACTTTAAGATGTTCTTTGTTCATGTTTTTTGTCTGTTGCCGTGACGCCCGAGTCAAGAGCCGCATGGCTCACAGGGCTATACCTAATATTAAACAGAAACTGAGTCGCTGGTTTGGTGTGTAAACGTCACCACAGGGGAGACAAAGGCGGCGGGGAGTGGTGTTGGCCAACCCCACCCCCTCGTGTGCCGTGCCGGCCTCCACATGTGCTCACCAAAAGCACTTGTTCCTACAGTCTGTTAAAGGCTACACAGGAGATCGTTGTGTTTGTTGTACACACACAGAGAAGCTGCGGCAGTGTTGATATCCACGCTGCACACGGTGTAGGGAGGCCTGACAAAGTGTCATTACATATCATCACACCGATAGCTATACATTATGTTGTATAATGATGCTCATTATGAATTGCTCTATTGTAATGTATGTGCGTGGTAGTGCACGAGTGCTGTTGTTATAGCTGTGCTGTTGTTACACGGCGACTGTGATTATCGTTACTGCAGATGGACGCTCATCGAGTCTGGACCAAAACTCGGCCCACAACAAACTCCAGATTTCCTCGGATCTCAGGACGGTTACGCGGACCGCTGTCTCCCAGGGTCGCCCTGATCACCCACACCGCTTTGATCACTGGCCACAAGCCCTGAGCTCCGAGAGCTTATCGTCGGGTCAACACTACTGGGAGGTGGACGTGGGGGGTGCGGCGGGGGGCTGTGTGGTTGGAGTCGCGTACAGGACAATCGCACGCAAAGGGAGTGGTAAAGAATGCAGCCTGGGACAGAACGACTCATCCTGGATGTTATATAAAGATAACAACAGCTGCTCAGTTTGGCATGGTGGTGTAAAGAGCTCAGTTGCGGTGAGGGATCCTCCCCGGAGAGTCGGGTGTCACCTGCACTGTGAGGCGGGATTGCTGTCGTTTTACCGCGCTGACTCAATGGAGCTGTTGCACTCCATTCACCACTCGTTTAGTCAACCGCTCTACCCCGCACTGAGTGTGTGGGGTGATGGTGACTCAGTGAGGATTCTGGATCTGAGTCGTGCGTCCTTAGAGCACAGAGCGTGAGCAGCGCAGAGAAACGGGCACAACGCACAGACTCATGCACACAAAGACACAGATCCACCATGAAGCCATGAAGCCTTAACAGACTGTTGGGGCAAGTGCTGGTAGCGAACACCTATAAAGACCGGCACGGCACTCGAAGGGGACGATCGCCAACACTACGCCTGGCCGCCTTTGTCTCCCCAGTGGTGACGTTTACACACTGCACCAGGAACTCATTTGAGGCTGAGTCGACGTTGAGAAGAATAAGGTTGGCCTGTGTTGTGCCCAGTGTAAGAAATTAAAGAAGAAGTACCCTCTACATGGCGTGTCCCGGAAGTCGCTCATTACATTTGTGGGAGTGGGTTGGTGTGTGTATGCCTATATATGTACGTGTCTTTGTTATTGTGTCTGTGTCTTCGTGTCTGTGTCTTTGTGTCTGTGTCTGTACGTTCATTGCGTGTGTCTGGGCGTGGTTCTGGCGACCCACCCGCTCGTGTGCCAGTGCCAGCCTTCATAGTTGCAACTCGCTACTTACAGTACTTGCCCCAACAGTCTGTAAAGGCTACATGTGAGATATTTGTCTTTAGTGTATAGAGGGGCATGTGTGTAGTGTGGGGTGGAGCGGTGGTGCAGTGGTTACCGCATTGTTGGGGGAGGGCGGGGGGAGCCAAGGTTCTCTCTGACCCCATCGCTCGTCATATTGCACCGCACGCCACATGGTGCTCAACGCTGAGAGTACGGAGTTCCACTGCGGGCAGGGCATAGATAGAGAGAAGTCACTTCTAGTATTAGTATGAGGAGGTCTTTCACCACCAATATTATTCGTAATAAAAGTTTGATTTTATTTCTATTTTAATTATCTGTTCTCAGACTTAGACTTGGACATGCAGCCACAACCTTCGATTCATGGGATAACGCCTCCCTCTGCTGACAAAATAGGAACTGTGTTTTGACTCTGAAGTGGGTTAAAGTAATTAAGCGCCTGATATATATCTACAGTGAAGATCTACCTTACACTACAACACGACTAATATTGTCTCAACACGCATTAATAACACACAGACACTGTGTGGTATTACAGGGATAATGACAACGCAAACTCCAAATATACAGCAGCTTTCAGGGTCGGAATCAACCCACAACCTCCTGCATACAAAGCGAGGGAATTAACATCTCCAAACGTGATACACCAATCCGGTTTGAACCCAACCTCAAATCTCAGGCTGTTTAGCAACGCGTAGATTATTTGAGACGCATTGATTATATTGTGCCAGTTGTGTAATTGTGTGAACGTTAATCGCATTGTGTTCTGGGCTGTGTGTGAGATTTCTATTTGCTCCATTGCTGGCATGGGTTTGACTTCTTTTGCTATTTTTCAATTTTGTGATCCAGGTCACTCTTGTTAATGAGACGCATCCTGATCTCCTGAGTTCTCACCTCGTTGAACTGAACTTCAACTCAACTCGATCATCATCATCAGCAGAAGTACCATCAGCAGCAGAATTAGTAACAGGAGCAACAGCATCAGCAGTGGTAGCTCCATCGTTAGCATCATCATCAGTTTCAGGAATGGGACCAGCTGCATCAATAATACTAAATAATTATCAGCAGTAACATAATCAACAGTAGCAGCAGCACCATCACCGTTACCATCATCATTATCATCAACAGGAGTAGGACCAGCAGCATCCACCATAATATAATAATTAGTAACAGTAACAGAATCATCGGTAGCAGAAGCAGCATCACTATCAGCACTCTTGCAAACGAGACTCGTCCTGGTCTCTTGAGTTCTCACCTGGTTAAACAAATCGACTTTAACACGGAGGCTTTCGCGACCAATATTTTCCATAATAAAGGTTTCTTGGGTTAGATCGCGGAAATATAGACTTGATTTTGTTCTGGGTTACCTGTGAATTGGAATCATATTGTATTCTGGGTCAAGGGTCAATGTATTCTGGATGAATAAAAAATGTAATCTGAAAATCTATTTTCAAGATTGTCATCCAGGCTGTGATTGTGTCTCTCTCAGAGCTGAGGCCGACTGACTTGTGTTAACAGGCATGTTTGAGATAGTTACTGTTGTTTTTTTTATATTATAAATCTACTGCTTACGCCTTCACGAGTAAGTGCTGTCTGTAGCCTTGGGCCACATTCCATGGCGCGTCTCGTGATTCCAAAGAACACAGGATGAGATGTTACTATACTTTGTGCAAGCACTTCCAAGAGTTCATGAACAGTGAGCCTGGTGAAATTTAGGGAGAGCATCGTCAGTAGTGAACCTTTGGTTCCTAGGGTGTTTCGGCCTTTCATACTATACACCCTCCCCAAAGGCGGCCAGCGACAGGGTGATCAATCCTACGCTTGCGTCCCATTCCCAATTAGTCATAGGAGTTGCCTTGTTGTTGATAGCCAACATCTCATGGGACTATGCATGGCAGGGGCGTCATCCTCCCTGAGTCAAGCATTGTTGACTGCATACCTCCTGGCCCTCTCACTTTGGGGCCCAGCTGGGGTCTATCCTCTTCATCCAGAGCCACTGACTGCTGCCTTCTGCCGCCTCCGATACAGCTCTGATTGCCGAACGCTGGCTCTGGCCCTTAATTCCCAGGTCTCTAAGCAGTCTGGTTGTAGATGTTGCCACAAAACCTCTGCAGCCCACGTCCACTGGTCGGACTTCTGTGTTCCAGCCATGATGCCGTGCTTCGGCAGCTAGATCGGCATAGCGCAGATGTTTTCGCTCATAAGCCTCATCTACTGAGTCCTCCCAGCTCAATGATGAAGACCTTCTTGAGCGAACGAGACCAGAGCACCATGTCAGGTCTTAGGGTGGTGGTTGCGATCTCCGGAGGAAACACAAGTTGCCGGCCAATGTCAGCTAGCATTTTCCAGTCGCGGGCCAAGCGCAGCTGGTCTCGCTCTATTGGTGTAGAGCCGCTCTTTGGTGGTTTAGCCCCTTCGCGGACAAAGGTAGTCCGTAAGGGGTGTGATGCTGTATTTATAGCTGCACTCTCAGTCGGTTTACTTGTTCCTCGCCACCGTGAGCTATGATAATGAATGGATCCTGACTGATGGATGATGATGATGATGATGATAATAATAATGACTAGGCTTGGTAATAATGGACACCGATCTCTCACCTGCACTCAACACTCTCTGACCCGACACCTGCCACTCCCTGACCCACAACCCCCCAGCCATTTGGAGCCCCTCCCTCCCACCTGCACTCCAGATCCCCCACACACTCATCCAAACCACCCATTCACCCAACCTCTTTACCTCCTATCCGCCTACCCGCCTGCCCACACCGATACATGCTCATCCATTCACCTGTTAATTATCCTATCCTCACACTCTCCCACCCGCCCACCTACTGTATTCACCTGTCCACCCACTCACCATTCCACCTCATATTTATTCAAGCGCCAACTTCTGGCTGATCTCCCTCCCACTTGATCACCTGCCCACCCGCTCACTCACTCACCCACGCATACGATCATCCTCCCACCCTCTCACCCGATTACCCACCTACCAACATGATTAAAATTACATCTGAAGAATATCACCCATTTACACATGAACTGGAGAGATTATTTGTCAAATAATGAACAAATATTAAGTTGATAAACTTGATTTGGAGCTTTCGTGACTGCAGGAATAACTTATTGGTTCTTTTGGGAAAGTCACGTAGAAAGAAAATACATTTAATAATAGAATATGACGTTTCGATTGCAACACAAGCAATCATCATCAGGTACGAATGAATAAGGAAAAAAAACGAGAAAACTTAGGAATAGAATGCAATACAACACAGAGAGTCGGATAACATAACAGTCAACACCCTACCTGGTTGATTACGTTCTTCCAAAGATTGCTAAATTTGAGAGAGAGATAAAACACAGACACGGAGACATATAGTCAGACACATAAGCAGAGAGAGACAACACAGAGCCACAGAGAGAGAGAGAGACACACACAAAGAAACAACGCCTCTGTGTCGAGGCCTTAAATAGAGAGAGGGGGGCAGAGAGAGAGAAAGGGGCGGTGGAGAAATTAGCATGCCAATGAGAGATGTGGAGCTTTCGTGACTGCAGGAAGTACTAGAGAGACAACACAGAGACTAAGAGAGAGAATAAAAATAAAAGAAACTTAGTAAAATTTGGGAAAGTAATGCAATGCAACACAGAGAGTCGGTCAACACACAATTAACGCATAGCCTGATTGATTACGCTCTTCCAAAAATATCTAAATTAGAAGTTACGTGTGAATTTTGAGAGAGAGACAAGACAAAGACACACAAAGACAGACACACAAGCAGAGAGAGACAACACATTCGTACCTGATGATGATTGCTTGTATTGCAATCGAAAGGTCGTATTCTATTATTTTATTTCTTTTATTTCTACGTGACTTTACCGAAAAAACCATTAAGTTGATACATTTTTCAGAACAATTAAAAAACATACTAAAACAAATCCTGAACAAATAAATGGCAATAAAAGAGACGACATAATTCGTTTTAAACCTTGAATCAGAATGTTTTTTCAAGGTACGGTTTGGTGCAGAAACCCACAGAGCCTCACCATAGCCGACGAAATCAGCCCGAGGGACAAACCATCACCGTTTGCCTGGCCACTCTGGGTTTTGTATAAATCGCAACGCTCCTGTTGCATTCACACCGCCGCCGTGTGCGCTCCTGAGACAGCGTCTCTCAGCCACAGCGAGCGGCTATCGATGAGAAGCCACTGAGAGTCGTGGCGAGCGCAGCTCCCACTGAGAGCGTAGCGAGTGGACCTGGCTCCCGTCTGGAAGTGGTTAAAGCCGACCGTGTAACGTGTCTCACGTTGCGTCTCGACAGCTGCGTGCGATACGAAGCTCGTGTCTGTGAACTTGACCACCTGAGCACATTTCCACGGAGTGTATCGTGAGGTTTCTAACCTCGTGATAAGTAATGTTCACTGCCTTGTTCATCACCGATGTTGTGAGCCCACAGGATGTTGATGGTTAAAATGTTTTAACTGGAACGTCCCTCGATTCAATCATTCGCAATTGTGTCCAGGGTATCAAATGACACATACGTGAAAACTTCAATAAAAGATTTACTATATATATTTTACCAGGCATGTCCTAATGAGCTACCTTGCTCTTTTTAAAAAACGATGTGGCCATCACAGATGATAGCTCACCGAAGTGGCTTATCATCATGTGGAAATGTAGAGCAGTGGCTTAATAGACGTCAGGGTCGGGATCAAACCCACAACCACCTGTAGACCAGGCGAGGTATTTAACATCTAATCACACCAAATAAAATATTAAAATCTACATCTTACACGGTTTACATTTATATACCACGTAAAACACATTGATACAGAGCCAAAAACAAGCAAGGCATCGCACTCACGTGCATCAGAGCGAGGTCAAACGCACGAATGCACGATGAGTACTGCCAGGTCATGTGGGACGTTCTCTCGCTGTCACAAAATCACTCAACGCGTTCGTCAAATAAAACCGCATGGCCCTTAATGGTCACATATATTAAACGACGTTTCAAGCAATGGACCTACTTTCTAGGACATCATTGAGAGTTAAAGCAGGAGGGCGATGCTGAATGAGTGCGTGCGTGTTTGGGTTTTTACTCTGATAATCGTTGCTTGAGTGAATTTAAGGGTTTTAAATTGTTTCACACACACGCATTTCTCTCTGTGTGCATGTGGCAGAGTTTAGCGTATCAACAACGAATAAATAAATAACAACATCAGCGAGCCGTTCTCAAATCACCGAAATGTTGCTGCGTTTGGGGAGGCAAGGGGGAGAGAGAAAGGGGGGGGGTGCAGGGTAGAGGGAGGGGGGCCGCGTGAGCGCTAGGGGAAGAGGACGTGAGGCTGGGGGGGGGGGGAAGTGGACGGGGCTAGAAGTTGGAAGCTGGAGAAGAACAGATAAAAATGTGCTAGTAAACCGGCAGGTACGATGGAACAACCATAAACAGTTAAGGTTTTACCTGGTTGATAACATCCTTCCAATGATTGTTCAATTTGTATCCATCTTCTCGGTTGAAGTTTGTCTATGTTTATATATCTGGATGGCTTCATGAACAAACCTTTGATAGTAGCCCGAAGGTTTGCAGAGTACCTTGGTCTCGGAAAAAACAATGTCATGCGAGCCCACAGCGTTATAACAATGGTCAGCTACGGCAGAGGTATTGGTTCTGCTATGTTACAGATCTGCCTTGTGTTCGCAAACACAGTCCGAGACATGTTGTTTCGTTTCCCCAATGTAACTATTACCGCAGGTACAACTCAGTTTGTAGACTCCAGGGTATTGCATGTCAGGAATGACATCATTCACAGATGGGATTAGATCACAGATTTCGTGTACTGTATTGAATCGGACCTGGATCTTGTGTTTGTTTAAGATTTTGGAAATATTTTGGTAACACCTGCTAAGTATGGCAAGGTGATGATTTTGATTGGGTCCTTAGATGGTTGTCTCCCCATGGTTAGAGAAACAGCTTTGCGGATACTGTGGTCTGAGTTCCCATTCATCTTGGGGGCTTGGTGTACGTATTACAGTTAATTGGCTAGGTGGTGTTGGTCGGAGATCCAGTGGGTCCCATGGTGTGGTGTTTTGATGAGGGAATTCTTCTGGACCTAATGGTATGGGGAATCAGGTTTAAGATAGGAATCTGTGTTGGTTCCTTTCTGTGGACAGAGTGTCCCAACGAGCCGTCAGGGTTCTTCTCAAACAGAACATCCAGGAATGGTAGCTTATCATCCTTCTCCACTTCCATGGTGAATTTGATGGATGGGTGTATGGAATTGATGTGGTTGAGAAATTGGTTCAATGCTGACAGGCCATGTGGCCAAATGACGAAAGTATCATCTAGGTATCTCTTCCACAAGAAAGGACGTAGGGTGGATGTTGGATGGCATCTGTTTCTAATTTCTCCATGAAAACATTCGCTATCATTGGTGATAAAGGGGAACCCATGGGGGTACCTTCATTTTGTTTGTAGAAAGTACCATTCCAGGTAAAGTAAGTGTTGGTAAGGCAGCCTCTAACCAAAGTTGGTACATCCGGATTCAGTCCATGTTGGACCAAGTCTTCAATTATTGCTAAGGTGTCAGGTACAGAAACCTTGGTGAACATAGAAACTACATTAAATCTGACAAGCAAATCATCTGGAGACAGTGAGATGCCCTTGATTAGAGAGACCAAGTCAGCTGAGTTAAGTACTGCTGAGGTAGTCTTGCCCGTGAATGGAAGCAAGGTGTCAGACAGAAAACGGGCCAGTTTGTAGGTAGGTGAGTTGATAGTGGAAACGATGGACCGAAGTGGAGAACCTTCTTTATGGATTTTGGAAGACCATAGAATCTGGGTGGTCTAGCAGCAGAAGGTTTTAGGGAGAGCCGCTTGAATGGTTCGTTTAAAGAAGTCGGTTTTTGGAATCAGGCGGTTGGTAAGATCTTTGTTAATGTTGGTGTAACTGCTGTCATTAAGAAGGTCCTGTATTTTGTTGTTATATGTGGTTTTATCCATGATGGCAGTAGCATTGCCCTTGCCAGCTGAGAGGATGACTATGTCCTCTCTCTTTTTTTAAGAAAAGGAGTGCTTACTTACGCTGGCACTGGTTCCAACAAAAAAAGTTGCAGCTAATGAGACAAAATTAGCATACACAAATTAACGTTTACGCTTTCAATCTCGCTGTACTGATGGCATGTTTTGGACACTGGGGATTTGCTATAAACACATCGAGACTAAAAATTTAAAGTCTAAGTAATTTCCTTTTCAGATGAGCACGGAGGGCAACTCCTCCTCTACTGTTTAATGGTGTAAGCCTGGCGGTGGAAATTCCGCGTTCATATGGCGGCGGGGGAAGGGCGAGTACATCCACAAGACGACTGTTGACCTCTCCACCCCGTGGTTACTCATTTAGTCGACTCTAAGAGAGCGGGATGATTGGCCGAGTCAGCCCCCAACCCCACACCCCCCGGACCCACCAAAACAGGATTCGACTCCCAAACATTGCGATTGAGAGCAGCAATCACACTGCACGTGAGCGCGGCTTATTTGAGCAGGAGAAAAAAAATTACCCACGCATACGAGAGAAGCGTGGCCACAGCATTGCAGTTGACTACGACACAGACACCGTTGGCCCGTACGTCCAATGATACGTGTGTTGCAACGGCGTTTGGTGAAGTGCCCTTTATTATTTAAAAGTAGAAGAAAAATGTAGTGCATCGATTACTGAAGTGTGAAAATTAAATGTATTTTGTGCAAGCGTATAACAACAAAACAACAAAATCACGTAACAACTTTTCTTTAATGAGACGAACATGGCAAACAAAATACGATGTGAGTAATACTCGTCGTGTCGTTAAGCCATAGTAGTGTTTGGTGACGATTACAGACGGCAGAATGCCGATGCGAGGGATGGGCGTGTTGCGTTTAATAAGAACGGGCGCGTGACTTTTAAAGTGAGTTAATTGGAGAGCCGCCGCCTGAACCATAAACATCGGTGATTCCACCTCGACGCAGTCGCTTCCTTCCACACGTTCGTTTCCGTTGAGATCGGCCGGCGCAAACTAAACTGCTGAAGCGGGTTAACAAAAAAGTAAGTACGTAAAATATACGGTCGGTGCCTCTAGCTATGAAACCCAACCGACCTCGCGACTACAGACGGCGCTGCAATTGCGTGCTCTTGTCAGTTCTGCCCTCAATGCTCCGTGCGGTCTGCTCGTTCGCCGTTCTTCCGAAATTGTTTTTGCTTTATGCTCCACTCGCTGGTCCTTATGCCCGCTCTTTTCTGGCTGGACATTGGTTTGCCTCTGGGTTGGATCATCGAAGTTGAGGCTCCCATATCTTCCGGGGGGGGGGTGGGGGGAAAGGAAAGAAACAGAAAACGTTGAGGTTAAAGTAACCATCCACGCGCATGTGTGTACGTATGCGTTTGCGTGCGTGTGTGTGTGTGTGGGGAGCGGTGGTGTAGCGCTACGAACATGGTGACCCCGGTTCGATTCACGGCCAAAACCAGTGACGATTATAAGAAACGGTCCTGGGCCTACCCTAGGTCGACTCAGCCTCAAATGAGTACCTGGTGCGGTGTGTAAACATCGCCACTGGAGAGACAAAGGCGGTCGGGCGTGGTGCTGGCCACCCACCCCGCTCGTGTACCGTGCAGGCCTTCATAGGTGCTCGCTAACAGCACTTGTCCTCAGAGTCTGTTAAAGCTATACACGGAGGATCTTTGTTGTCTTTGTTGTAGTGTAGTGTGCATCTGCAAGTCATCTCGACCAGTCAACCCATGGCACTTGGGTCTGTTCCGCGACCTCCTGCTTGCGAGCCTTGAACACTTCACGTGGCCTCAAGGTGCACCGCGCACTGGCACAAGCGACGTGGGGAGGTCACCGCAACTTAGTGGAAAACGGTGTTTTTTTGTGAATGTAGTTAGACGGCCCCCTTGCGCGAAGTCACTGGTTCGATGCATGTAGTGGAAAGAACGGTGGAAGTATCTCGAATCCGCCCCCCCCCCGACGATACCCACCCAACAGTATGAACAGATAAACCACAGTCGTTTGGCAGGTCACACGCGGTGGGGTAATGTATGGGTACTCACTCCTATGCCAAGACATCTGGCGAGTGTATAAGAGAAGGTCAAAATACACAACCAGAGTGGTTATCTAGAGCTCCCTCCAGTGGCGGCCTTTCCACCAGCAGTGATGTCAGCGAGCAATTGCAGGGCTGCGCCTTTATATTTTACAGCGTGCAGTGATTCAACGCACTAATGAGAGCCCCGCAAACCAGATGAGTCACGTGTGAATAAATTGCATTTGCATTGCGTGATTAGATAAAGAAAAGTCCGTTTTAGTATTCTCACCGCTCGCACGGTTTGTACCCTGTCTGACAATTGCCCCCAGAAGATGAGATCACAGAACTATTTCTGAAGTCACTTCATTGAGCGCATTAATGCTCACCGAGATCGCAGAGGTCGTTTATATCCGCATGTCAAACTGAAAACACCATTCTAACCACAGCGCATGCTCAGTGGCCAGGGGCGCAGTCCGACGGTGGGAGTTGGCAGGGGGGGGGGGTGTCCTACTCGTGAAAGCTTCCCCGTGGTTATCGGTTAGATTCCAGATAGGGTCGGTAAAGTTGGCCCCCACCCTCGCTTAGTCAAGGACAAGTGGAGTTCCACCGCAACTCCAACGGCAACTCCTGGCCATTGACCCAGTACTAACCCCCGATGGTCGTGAACTCCCCCATGTATGGCAAGGTTCCATTGGATGCACAATCGGCATTTGCCTCGCTGTAACAGAAGAGTTAAAAAAGTGAAAACGCACTAAAAAAAACAGTACCGCAATTATTTTTCTAAAATGGCGCGGGAGGTCTTTTGGTTCCGTACGTATCTTAAAACGCGTCGAAGCTGCGTCATGCTGCACGCGTGGGGCCCAGCGGGGCACGGACCTCTGTTCTTGTGGCACTTGCAGCTCTCCACGCACTCCTCGGTCGTGTGGAAGTTGTTGTCGTTGCCTCCGCAGCCGCCGTAGATGAAGTTCTCGCACTGGCCCGTGGTCATGTTGTAGAAGTGACGCGGGAAGGCGGCCTTGCAGTTGCCAGTCTCCGGCTCAAAGCGGCACTTCTTGGGCACCTCTGCAGTGAGGGGAGGGGGGTGGTGGAGACACGGCGGGGAGTTTAAACACCGACGTGCAAGTGCAATGACGATGGCGGGGCGTGCAGATGAATGTCGCCGTGGGACTAACTTCTCTGGCACATGTCGTGATGGGTACTCCAAGATTGGATGTTCAGTGCTCGCCCGAGCTGCTTTGGTTTCTGGTGACCAAACGAATACATGATGAGGTCGCATTCGTTACGCACAAAGTGCTCGCCACAAAGGAACCACGATACCTTGCTGATCTCGTCAAGGAGCATAAACCATCGCGCAAACTCTGATCATCCTCGCAGCGGATTTTGGCTAACCAAGACGGTCACCGCATCACGTGCTTTCAGATGCAGCCGTCTGGAATGCTCTTTTATCCGATATTAGTAAGCCAATGGATGTATGCACTTTCAAATCTAGTTTGTAAACTAATTTCTTTAGAACTGCTTTTTCGTTTTTAGTGTGTTGTCCTACCCCCGCACCTCTGATTAACACTGTTGTCTACGTATGGTGCGAAACAAGTTCAACAAACATAAATAGTGCTAGTGGCAAGCGGGCGTTCTCATCACAACCACGTGCTCAGTGGCTCATCAATTTGTGAATGTGTTTGTTCAAAATGTGTTGCATACTTCCCAACATGCAACAAACCTGAAATTTGGCATGTGTGTAGCTTGCAGACTATACACCATGCAAAAAGTATAAAAATAGACTTTTATATATTTTTTTTTGGGGGGCGCAATAATGGATATATTTGCACGGCAAGTGAGCGGTGACGTCACATCTGTGATGTCACCCGCATGCGTCAGCGTTACGCAGTGTGCCTGCTAACGTCACGCACCCCCCCCCCCAACCCTCCGCGTAGGCCGTGTATTAATCCAAGACAAGAATCCAAGTCTCGGGCGAAGCCGGGTAGTAAAGCTAGTATAAGATATAGTATTCTGACCCCGTGGGCCAAATTCTATGGGTTAGGAAAAAACACAATATCTCGCCCTGGCACGTGGGGCCCTTCAGCATGTGTGGCCCTCCAGCACGTGAGGCAACCAGGGGTTACGTACGTACTCTACATTGAACTTCTTTCACGCAATGCACAGCCGACCCCACTAATCGGATTGTGCGGAGGAAGCTCAACACACTGCCTGCGCGCTCGTTTCCCTCGATAGCCGGTGGCGGTGTGGGTGTGGGCACCTACTCTGCACTGTTTTGCAGGCGATGCGGCACTCCGTTTCTGTCTCGAAGTTGTTGGCGTTGCCGTCGCAGCCGCCATAGTAGAACTTCTGGCAGCGCTGCGTGAGGCGGTTGTAGAAGTAGCGTGGGATGTGGGCCTTGCATGGCCCAATCTCTCTGTCCATTGTGCAGATGGCGCGTATGGAAAGCTCATCATCGCTCTCGTCGCCTGCACGGAGAACGGGGAGGACCCAATAACAAAAAACTATTTCGTACGCGCATGTTTACGTTCAACTTCTTTCGAAACATGCATTGCCAACCGTGATAACACTGGTCAAATAAAAAAAATTCTGGCCTGGACTTTTGCAGCTGTTTTAGACTAATTTCAGGGTGTTGATTCCAAATCTGATCTCAGATTTGCTCTATCACATCATTTTTATGCTATCGGCATACCCCATTTTCATTGATTTTACCCGAAATTAACTCTGTCACTTATGATTGCAAGTTGTTGCGAGTCAGTGACTGCCTAAGTGTTAAATATGGTGTTGTATTTTTAAGATAGTGTGTTTATAATATCATTTTATGTAGATATCCACATTTATTTTATATTTTTCTTCTGCAGTTTTTATTGAAAATGCAATATTTGATATCTCAAAAATCTGATGTGATAGACAAAAACTGATGCCAGATTTGGAATCAGCACCGCAAAATGACATTAAAACCGTTGGAATACCTTATGCCAGAAAAAGTTTGTCGACCAGTGTAATCGGAGTTAAGGGCCCACTGAGCTGAATACCCCTTCAAACGTGACCTGACCGCCATAAATTAAAGTGTAAGAAAGTGGCGGCTTATCACGTAAAAGTGTATGGCAGCCGAATGCTCTATAAATGCACGTTGATTCTAAACGTGGAGCGGAAAACCCGAAGGACCCGGAGAAAAATCCACACGACCACGGGGAGAGAAACTGCAAACTACAAATATACAGCAGGCGTCAGGGTCGGGATCGAACCCACGACCTCCTATATACCAGGTGAGCTAGCTAACATCTTGCCACCGCGGCACCACTCTAACCACTGTGGCACCCCGGGGCTTAATTCCCGTCGTAGAAACGATGGTTTATGCACCGTACATATTTGTCTCACCAATGTCGTGTTCAATCACATTTCTGGCTCAGCAATCAATGGAAGGACGTAATAAACCATTTCGGATCTTAACTGATTGTGTTCACGTTTACGGTGACTTTCAGACCGCAGTCGACTCACTGGCATTGACTTTATATCTTTTATTCTCTGCAGGGAATGGATTCTATGCTCCGCTGCAAGTCTCCTACCACCACTCTCCCATTGACATATTTCGTTGCTTCCTCTTAGTACCTTTCACGCGACGGTCAATGGTATAGTGTATAGCAGATTGTATAATAATAAATAGTATACAAGTGTAATGTTTAATATAATGTATAAGGTAATATATAGTATCGTAATTGTATAGTGAATATACAGCAGTGTGGTATACAGTAAGGTGGGTATAATAATACATAGTGTAATATTACAATGTAGAGTCTAAACATAAATAGTGCTGGTGGCAAGCGGGCGTTCTCATCAAAACCACGTGCTCAAGGGCTCATCAATTTGTGAATATGTGTTTGTTCGAAATGTTTAGCATACTTCCCAACATGCAAAAAACCTGAAATTTTGCATGTGGGTAGCTTGCAGACTGTACACCATGCTAAAAGTATAAAAATAGACTGTTATATTTGAGGGGGGGGGGCGCAATAATGGATATATTTGCACGACAAGTGAGCGGTGATGTCACATCTGTGATATCACCCGCATGCTGCAGCGTTACGCAGTGTGCCTGCTGACGTCACGCATCCCACCCCCCACCCTCCACGTAGGCCATGTATTAATCCAAGACAAGAATCCAAGTGTCGGGCGAAGCCGGGTAGTAAAGCTAGTATAAGTTATAGTATTCTGACCCCGTGGGCCAAATTTTATGAATTTAGAAAAAACACAATATCTCGCCCTGGCACGTGGGGCCCTCCAGCACGTAAGGCAACCAGGAGTTACGTAAGTACTCTACAATGAACTTCTTTCACGCAATGCGCAGCCGACCCCGCTAATCGGATTGTGCGGGGGAGGCTCAACAAACTGCCCGTGGGCTCGTTTCCCTCAAAAGCCGGCGGCGGTGTGGGTGTGGGCACCTACTCTGCACTGTTTTGCAGGCGATGCGGCACTCCGCTTCTGTTTTGAAGTTGTTGGCGTTGCCGTCGCAGCCGCCATAGTAGAACTTCTGGCAGCACTGCGTGAGGCGATTGTAGAAGTAGCGTGGGATGTGGGCCTTGCAGGGCCCAATCTCTTTGTCCATCTTGCAGATGGCGGGTATGGAAAGCTCATCATCGCTCTCGTCGCCTGCAGGGAGAACGAGGAGGAACCTATAACAAAAAACTATTTTGTACGCGGATGTTTACGTTGAACTTCTTTCGAACCATGCGTTGCCAACCGTGATAATCGGAGTTAAGGGCCCACTGAGCTGAATACCTCTTCAGACGTGACCTGACCGCCATAAATTACAGCGTAACAAAGTGGCGGCTTATCACGTGGAAGTGTATGGCAGCCGAATACTCTATAAATGCACGTTGATTCTAAACGTGGAGCGGAAAACCCGGAGGACCCGGAGAAAAATCCACACAACCACGGGGAGAGAAACTGCAAACTACAAATATACAGCAGGCGTCAGGGTCGGGATCGTACCCACGACCTACTGTATCCAGGTGAGATAGCTAACATCTCGCCACCGCGGCACCACTCTAACCACTGTGGCACCCCGTTGCTTAACTCCCGTCGTAGAAACGATGGTTTATGCACCGTACATATTTGTCTCACCAATGTCGTGTTCAATCACATTTCTGGCTCAGCAATCATTTGAAGGACGTAATAAACCATTTCGGATCTTAACTGATTGTGTTCACGTTTACGGTGACTTTCAGACCGCAGTCAACTCACTGGCATTGACTATATATATTTTATTCTCCACAGGGAATGGATTATTTTCTCCGCTGGAAGTCTCCTACCACCACTCTCCCATTGACATATTTCGTTGCTTCCTCTTAATACATTTCACGCGACAGTCAATGGTATAGTGTATAGCAGATTGTATAATAATAAATGGTGTAAAAGTGTAATGTTTAATATAATGTATAAGGTAATATATAACATGGTAATTGTATAGTGAATATACAGCAGTGTGGTATACAGTAGGGTGGGTAGAATAATATATAGTGTAATATTACAATGTATAGTCTAAACATAAATAGTGCTGGTGGCAAGCGGGCGTTCTCATCACAACCACGTGCTCAGGGGCTCATTAATTTGTGAATATGTGTTTGTTCGAAATGTTTAGCATACTTCCCAACATGCAACAAACCTGAAATTTTGCAAGTGGGTAGCTTGCAGACGGTACACCATGCAAAAAGTACAAAAATAGACTGTTATATTTGGGGGGGGGGCGCAATAATGGATATATTTGCACGACAAGTGAGCGGTGATGTCACATCTGTGATGTCACCCGCATGCTGCAGCGTTACGCAGTGTGCCTGCTGACGTCACGCATCCCACCCCCCACCCTCCACGTAGGCCATGTATTAATCCAAGACAAGAATCCAAGTCTCGGGCGAAGCCGGGTAGTAAAGTTAGTATAAGTTATAGTATTCTGACCCCGTGGGCCAAATTCTATGAATTTAGAAAAAACACAATATCTCGCCCTGGCACGTGGGGCCCTCCAGCACGTAAGGCAACCAGGAGTTACGTAAGTACTCTACATTGAACTTCTTTCACGCAATGCGCAGCCGACGCCGCTAATCGGATTGTGCGGGGGAGGCTCAACAAACTGCCTGCGCGCTCGTTTCCCTCGATAGCCGGCGGCGGTGTGTGTGTGGGCACCTACTCTGCACTGTTTTGCAGGCAATGCGGCACTCCGTTTCTGTCTCGAAGTTGTTGGCGTTGCCGTCGCAGCCGCCATAGTAGAACTTCTGGCAGCGCTGCGTGAGGTGGTTGTAGAAGTAGCGTGAGATGTGGGCCTTGCAGGGCCCAATCTCTCTGTCCATCTTGCAGATGGCGGGTATGGAAAGCTCATCATCGCTCTCGTCGCCTGCAGGGAGAACGAGGAGGAACCTATAACAAAAAACTATTTTGTACACGCCTGTTTACGTTAAACTTATTTCGAACCATGCGTTGCCAACCGTGATAATCGGAGTTAAGGGCCCACTGAGCAGAATACCTCTTCAGACGCGACCTGACCACCACAAATGATAGCGTAACAAAGTAGCGGCTTATCACGTAGAAATGTATGGCAGCCGAATGCTCTATAAATGCACGTTGATAATAAACGTGGAGCGGAAAAACCGGACAAAAATCCACACGACCACGGGGAGAGATACTTCAAACTACAAATATACAGCAGGTGTCAGGGTCAGGATCGAACCCACGACCTCCTGTATACCAGGTGAGATAGCTAACATCTCGCCACCGCGGCACCACTCTAACCACTGTGGCACCCCGGGCTTAACTCCCGTCGTAGAAACGATGGTTTATGAACCGTACATATTTGTCTCACCAATGTCATGTTCAATCACATTTCTGGCTCAGCAATCATTTGAAGGACGTAATAAACCATTTCGGATCTTAACTGATTGTGTTCACGTTTACGGTGACTTTCAGACCGCAGTCAACTCACTGGCATTGACTATATATCTTTTATTCTCCACAGGGAATGGATTCTTTTCTCCGCTGGAAGTCTCCTACCACCACTCTCCCATTGACATATTTCGTTGCTTCCTCTTAATACATTTCACGCGACGGTCAATGGTATAGTGTATAGCAAATTGTATAATAATAAATAGTGTAAAAGTGTAATGTTTAATATAATGTATAAGGTAATATATAGTATCGTAATTGTATAGTGAATATACAGCAGTGTGGTATACAGTAGGGTGGGTAGAATAATATATAGTGTAATATTACAATGTTTAGTCTAAACATAAATAGTGCTGGTGGCAAGCGGGCGTTCTCATCACAACCATGTGCTCAGGGGCTCATCAATTTGTGAATATGTGTTTGTTCGAAATGTTTAGCATGCTTCCCAACATGCAACAAACCTGAAATTTTGCATGTGGGTAGCTTGCAGACTGTACACAATGCAAAACGTATAAAATTAGACAGTTATATTTGCGGGGGGGGGGGGCGCAATAATGGATATATTTGCACGACAAGTGAGCGGTGATGTCACATCTGTGATGTCACCCGCATGCTGCAGCGTTACGCAGTGTGCCTGCTGACGTCACGCATCCCACCCGCCACCCTCCACGTAGGCCATGTATTAATCCAAGACAAGAATCCAAGTCTCGGGCGAAGCCGGGTAGTAAAGCTAGTATAAGTTATAGTATTCTGACCCCGTGGGCCAAATTCTATGAATTTAGAAAAAACACAATATCTCGCCCTGGCACGTGGGGCCCTCCAGCACGTAGGGCAACCAGAAGTTACGTAAGTACTCTACATTGAACTTCTTTCACACAATGCGCAGCCGACCCCGCTAATCGGATTGCGCGAGGGAGGCTCAACAAACTGCCTGTGGGCTCGTTTCCCTCGATAGCCGGCGGCGGTGTGGGTGTGGGCACCTACTCTGCACTGTTTTGCAGGCGATGCGGCACTCCGTTTCTGTCTCGAAGTTGTTGGCGTTGCCGTCGCAGCCGCCATAGTAGAACTTCTGGCAGCGCTGCGTGAGGTGGTTGTAGAAGTAGCGTGGGATGTGGGCCTTGCAGGGCCCAATCTCTCTGTCCATCTTGCAGATGGCGGGTATGGAAAGCTCATCATCGCTCTCGTCGCCTGCAGGGAGAACGAGGAGGAACCTATAACAAAAAACTATTTTGTACGCGCATGTTTACGTTGAACTTATTTCGAACCATGCGTTGCCAACCGTGATAATCGGAGTTAAGGGCCCACTGAGCTGAATACCTCTTCAGACGTGACCTGACCGCCATAAATTACAGCGTAACAAAGTGGCGGCTTATCACGTGGAAGTGTATGGCAGCCGAATACTCTATAAATGCACGTTGATTCTAAACGTGGAGCTGAAAACCCGGAGGACCCGGACAAAAATCCACACGACCACTGGGAGAGAAACTGCAAACTACAAATATACAGCAGGCGTCAGGGTCGGGATCGTACCCACGACCTACTGTATCCAGGTGAGATAGCTAACATCTCGCCACCGCGGCACCACTCTAACCACTGTGGCACCCCGTTGCTTAACTCCCGTCGTAGAAACGATGGTTTATGCACCGTACATATTTGTCTCACCAATGTCGTGTTCAATCACATTTCTGGCTCAGCAATCATTTGAAGGACGTAATAAACCATTTCGGATCTTAACTGATTGTGTTCACGTTTACGGTGACTTTCAGACCGCAGTCAACTCACTGGCATTGACTATAAATCTTTTATTCTCCACAGGGAATGGATTCTTTTCTCCGCTGGAAGTCTCCTACCACCACTCTCCCATTGACATATTTCGTTGCTTCCTCTTAATACATTTCACGTGACGGTCAATGGTATAGTGTATAGCAGATTGTATAATGATAAATAGTGTAAAAGTGTTATGTTTAATAAAATGTATAAGGTAATATATAGTATCGTAATTGTATAGTGAATATACAGCAGTGTGGTATACAGTAGGGTGGGTAGAATAATATATAGTGTAATATTACAATGTATAGTCTAAACATAAATAGTGCTGGTGGCAAGCGGGCGTTCTCATCACAACCACGTGCTCAGGGGCTCATCAATTTGTGAATATGTGTTTGTTCGAAATGTTTAGCATACTTCCCAACATGCAACAAACCTGAAATTTTGCAAGTGGGTAGCTTGCAGACGGTACACCATGCAAAAAGTATAAAAATAGACTGTTATATTTGGGGGGGGGGCGCAATAATGGATATATTTGCACGACAAGTGAGCGGTGATGTCACATCTGTGATGTCACCCGCATGCTGCAGCGTTACGCAGTGTGCCTGCTGACGTCACGCATCCCACCCCCACCCTCCACGTAGGCCATGTATTAATCCAAGACAAGAATCCAAGTCTCGGGCGAAGCCGGGTAGTAAAGCTAGTATAAGTTATAGTATTCTGACCCCGTGGGCCAAATTCTATGAATTTAGAAAAAACACAATATCTCGCCCTGGCACGTGGGGCCCTCCAGCACCTAAGGCAACCAGGAGTTACGTAAGTACTCTACATTGAACTTCTTTCACGCAATGCGCAGCCGACCCCGCTAATCGGATTGTGCTGGGGAGGCTCAACAAACTGCCTGTGGGCTCGTTTCCCTCGATAGCCGGCTGCGGTGTGGGTGTGGGCACCTACTCTGCACTGTTTTGCAGGCGATGCGGCACTCCGTTTCTGTCTCGAAGTTGTTGGCGTTGCCGTCGCAGCCGCCATAGTAGAACTTCTGGCAGCACTGCGTGAGGCGATTGTAGAAGTAGCGTGGGATGTGGGCCTTGCAGGGCCCAATCTCTTTGTCCATCTTGCAGATGGTGGGTATGGAAAGCTCATCATCGCTCTCGTCGCCTGCAGGGAGAACGAGGAGGAATCTATAACAAAAAACTATTTTGTACGCGCCTGTTTACGTTACACTTCTTTCGAACCATGCGTTGCCAACCGTGATAATCGGAGTTAAGGGCCCACTGAGCAGAATACCTCTTCAGACGCGACCTGACCACCACAAATGATAGCGTAACAAAGTAGCGGCTTATCACGTAGAAATGTATGGCAGCCGAATGCTCTATAAATGCACGTTGATAATAAACGTGGAGCGGAAAAACCGGACAAAAATCCACACGACCACGGGGAGAGATACTTCAAACTACAAATTTACAGCAGGCGTCAGGGTCAGGATCGAACCCACGACCTCCTGTATACCAGGTGAGATAGCTAACATCTCGCCACCGCGGCACCACTCTAACCACTGTGGCACCCCGGGCTTTACTCCCGTCGTAGAAACGATGGTTTATGAACCGTACATATTTGTCTCACCAATGTCATGTTCAATCACATTTCTGGCTCAGCAATCATTTGAAGGACGTAATAAACCATTTCGGATCTTAACTGATTGTGTTCACGTTTACGGTGACTTTCAGACCGCAGTCAACTCACTGGCATTGACTATATATCTTTTATTCTCCACAGGGAATGGATTCTTTTCTCCGCTGGAAGTCTCCTACCACCACTCTCCCATTGACATATTTCGTTGCTTCCTCTTAATACATTTCACGCGACGGTCAATGGTATTGTGTATAGCAGATTGTATAATAATAAATAGTGTAAAAGTGTAATGTTTAATATAATGTATAAGGTAATATATAGTATCGTAATTGTATAGTGAATATACAGCAGTGTGGTATACAGTAGGGTGGGTAGAATAATATATAGTGTAATATTACAATGTATAGTCTAAACATAAATAGTGCTGGTGGCAAGCGGGCGTTCTCATCACAACCACGTGCTCAGGGGCTCATCAATTTGTGAATATGTGTTTGTTCGAAATGTTTAGCATACTTCCCAACATGCAACAAACCTGAAATGTTGCATGTGGGTAGCTTGCAGAATGTACACCATGCAAAAAGTATAAAATTAGACTGTTCTATTTGGGGAGGGGGTGGGCGCAATAATGGATATATTTGCACGACAAGTGAGCGGTGACGTCACATCTGTGATGTCACCCGCATGCTGCAGCGTTACGCAGTGTGCCTGCTGACGTCACGCATCCCCCCCGCATCCTCCACGTAGGCCATGTATTAATCCAAGACAAGAATCCAAGTCTCGGGCGAAGCCGGGTAGTTAGTTATAGTATTCTGACGCCGTGGGCCAAATTCTATGAATTTAGAAAAACACAATATCTCGCCCTGGCACGTGGGGCCCTCCAGCACGTGAGGCAAACAGGGGTCATATACGTACTCTACATTGAACTTCTTTCACGCAATGCGCAGCCGACCCCGCTAATCGGATTGTGCGGGGGAAGCTCAACAAACTGCCTGCGCGCTCGTTTCCCTCGATAGACGGCGGCGGTGTGGGTGTGGGCACCTACTCTGCACTGTTTTGCAGGCGATGCGGCACTCCGTTTCTGTCTCGAAGTTGTTGGCGTTGCCGTCGCAGCCGCCAAAGTAGAACTTCTGGCAGCGCTGCGTGAGGCTGTTGTAGAAGTAGCGTGGGATGCTGGCCTTGCAGGGCCCAATCTCTCTGTCCATCGTGCAGACGTCGGGTATGGAAAGCTCATCATCGCTCTCGTCGCCTGCAGGGAGAACGAGGAGGACCCTATAACAAAAAACTATTTTGTTCGCGCATGTTCACGTTGAACTTCTTTCGAACCATGCATTGCCAACCGTGATAACACTGGACAAAAAAAAAATCTGGCCTGGACTTTTGCAGCTGTTTTAGACTAATTTCAGGGTGTTGATTCCAAATCTGATCTCAGATTTGCTCTGTCACATCATTTTTATGCTATCGGCATACCCCATTTTCATTGATTTTACCCGAAATTAACTCTGTCACTTATGATTGCAAGTTGTTGAGAGTCAGTGACTGCTTTAGTGTTAAAATATGGTGCTGTATTTTTAAGATAGTGTGTTTATAATATCATTTTATGTAGATATCCATATTTATTTCATATTTTTCTTCTGCATTTTTTATTGAAATTGCAATATTTGATATCTCAAAAACCTGATGTGATAGACAAAAACTGATGCCAGATTTGGAATCAGCACCCCAAAATGACCTTAAACCCGTTGGAATACCTCATGCCAGAAAAAGTGTGTTGACCAGTGTAATCGGAGTTAAGGGCCCACTGAGCTGAATACCTCTTCAGACGTGACCTGACCGCCATAAATTACAGCGTAACAAAGTGGCGGCTTATCACGTGGAAGTGTATGGCAGCCGAATACTCTATAAATGCACGTTGATTCTAAACGTGGAGCGGAAAACCCGGAAGACCCGGAGAAAAATCCACACGACCACGGGGAGAGAAACTGAAAACTACAAATATACAGAAGGCGTCAAGGTCGGGATCGAACCCACGACCTACTGTATCCAGGTGAGATAGCTAATATCTCGCCACCGCGGCACCACTCTAACCACTGTGGCACCCCGGGGCTTAACTCCTGTCGTAGAAACGATGGTTTATGCACCGTACATATTTGTCTCACCAATGTCGTGTTCAATCACATTTCTGGCTCAGCAATCATTGGAAGGACGTAATAAACCATTTCGGATCTTAACTGATTGTGTTCACGTTTACGGTGACTTTCAGACTGCAGTCAACTCACTGGCATTGACTATATCTTTTATTCTCCACAGGGAATGGATTCTTTGCTCCGCTGGAAGTCTCCTATCACCACTCTCCCATTGACATATTTCGTTGCTTCCTCTTAGTACCTTTCACGCGACGGTCAATGGTATAGTGTATAGCAGATTGTATAATAATAAATAGTATAAAAGTGTAATGTTTAATATAATGTATAAGGTAATATATAGTATCATAATTGTATAGTGAACTAGCTGTACTACCCGGCTTCGCCCGGGACTTGTATCCACCACGGCCGGCCGCCTTTGTCTCCCCAGTGGCGATGTTAATACGCCACACCAGTTACTCGTTTTGAGGCTGAGTCCCTCCCTCGCCACTCTCCCTCCCTCGCCACTCTCCCTCCCTCGCCACTCTCCCTCCCTCGCCACTCTCCCTCCCTCTCCACTCTCCCTCCCTCTCCACTCTCCCTCCCTCCCTCGCCACTCTCCCTCCCTCACCACTCTCCCTCCCTCACCACTCACGCCCGGCCGCCTTTGTCTCCCCAGTGGCGATGTTAATACGCCACACCAGTTACTCGTTTGAGGCTGAGTCGACCTAGGGTAGGTTGAAATAATCGTCACCGGTGGTGGCCGTGAGCGGGAATCGAACTCGGTTCGCCGGGTTGGTAGCGCAGCGTAGCGTTAAGCACTACACCCACTGCTCCTCACACACCACACACGCACAGACACACACACAGACACACACACATAGACACACGCAAACACACACAGACAGACACAGACAGACACACACACACACAGACACACAGACAGCACGCTAACCACTACACTACCGCTCCCCACACACCACACACGCACACACACAGACACACACACAGACACACACACACAGACACACACACACAGACACAGACAGCACGCGAACCACTACACTACCGTTCCCCCTACACAACACACGCGCGCGCGTCCATAGGTACACATACACGCGCTTGCTGCAGACACACACGACTTTCAGGGTGCGTACGGCAGTAAACGACTGAAATAATAAAGCGGCAATGCTGCGCGAGGAACGCCTTAGACCTGCAACACATTTGTGTAATGCGAGCGTAAACACACAAACACATACAAACACATACACACACATACATACACACACATACACACAAACACATACACACACATACACACACATACATACACACAGACATACACATACACACAAACACACAAACACATACACAATACACACACACATACATGCAGACACACAGACACACACATAACACACATACATACACACACATACATACACAGAAACACATACACACACATACATACACACACACATACATACACACAAACACATACACACACGTACATACACACATACATACAGACACACAGACATACACATAAACACATACAAAAAAACCCACATACATACACACACACATACATAAACACAAACACATACACAGACATACATACACACATACATACAGACACACAGACATACACATAAACACATACACACATACACATGACCCGGCTTCGCCCGGGACTTGGATCCACCACGCCCGGCCGCCTTTGTCTCCCCAGTGGCGATGTTAATACGCCACACCAGTTACTCGTTTGAGGCTGAGTCGACCTAGGGGAGGTTCAAATAATCGTCACCGGTGGTGGCCGTGAGCGGGAATGGAACTCGGGTCGGCGGGTTCGTAGCGTGGCGCGCTAACCACGACACTACAATGCGTTACGCTTCCGTTGTAGGATTTGTGTGAGGCGCGCCGATCCGTTGTAGGGTTTGTGTGAGGCGTGCCGATCTGTTGTAGGGTTTTAGTGAGGTGCGCCGATCCGTTGTAGTGTTTTAGTGAGGCGCGCCGAACCGTTGTAGGCTTTTAGTGAGGCGCGCCGATCCGTTGTAGGGTTTTAGTGAGGGGCGCCGATCCCCCGCGATACAATAATACTGTGTAATCGCTATAATTTTATGATTTACCGAGCGTATAATAGTAATTGCACACATTGTGGTGGGGGGGGGGAGTGAAGAGGACGTGAAACTTTGTGTTAATGCGTGCGCCTATTTTTAACGGGAATAAAAAATGGCGTCCACCCCGCGGCGAAAAAGTCGCTACTCGTTGCCAGGGGCAACCGCCGTCCAATGAAAGTGCGTATGGTCCGGCGACACACAGACACACAGACAGACAGATAGACAGACAGATTCACGATTTTATATATATAGATATACAGCAGTGTGGTATACAGTAGGGTGGGTAGAATAATATATAGTGTAATATTACAATGTATAGTCTAAACATAAATAGTGCTGGTGGCAAGCGGGCGTTCTCATCACAACCACGTGCTCAGGGGCTCATCAATTTGTGAATATGTGTTTGTTAGAAATGTTTAGCATACTTCCCAACATGCAACAAACCTGAAATTTGGTATGTGGGTAGCTTGCAGACTGTACACCATGCAAAAAGTATAAAAATAGACTGTTGTATTTGGGGGGGGGGGTGGGCGCAATAATGGATATATTTGCACGACAAGTGAGCGGTGACGTCACATCTGTGATGTCACCCGCATGCTGCAGCGTTACGCAGTGTGCCTGCTGACGTCACGCATCCCCCCCCCCACCCTCCACGTAGGCCATGTATTAATCCAAGACAAGAATCCAAGTCTCGGGCGATGCCGGGTAGTAAAGCTAGTATAAGTTATAGTATTCTGACCCTGTGGGCCAAATTCTATGAATTTAGAAAAAACACAATATCTCGCCCTGGCACGTGGGGCCCTCCAGCACGAGAGGCAACCAGGGGTTACGTACGTACTCTACATTGAACTTCTTTCACGCAATGCGCAGCCGACCCCGCTAATCGGATTGTGCGGGGGAAGCTCAACAAGCTGCCTGCGCGCTCGTTTCCCTCGATAGCCGGCGGCGGTGTGGGTGTGGGCACCTACTCTGCACTGTTTTGCAGGCGATGCGGCACTCCGTTTCTGTCTCGAAGTTGTTGGCGTTGCCGTCGCAGCGGCCAAAGTAGAACTTCTGGCAGCGCTGCGTGAGGCGGTTGTAGAAGTAGCGTGGGATGTGGGCCTTGCAGGACCCAATCTCTCTGTCCATCTTGCAGATGGCGGGTATGGAAAGCTCATCATCGCTCTCGTCGCTTGAACTTCTTTCGAACCATGCGTTGCCAACCGTGATAATCGGAGTTAAGGGCCCACTGAGCTGAATACCTCTTCAGACGCGACCTGACCACCACAAATGATAGCGTAACAAAGTAGCGGCTTATCACGTAGAAATGTATGGCACCCGAATGCTCTATAAATGCACGTTGATTATAAACGTGGAGCGGAAAACCCGGAGGACCCGGAGAAAAATCCACACGACCACGGGGAGAGAAACTTCAAACTACAAATATACAGCAGGCGTCAGGGTCGGGATCGAACCCACGACCTCCTGTATACCAGGTGAGATAGCTAACATCTCGCCACCGCGGCACCACTCTAACCACTGTGGCACCCCGGGGCTTAACTCCCGTCGTAGAAACGATGGTTTATGCACCGTACATATTTGTCTCACCAATGTCGTGTTCAATCACAATGCCGCAGGTGACAACAACACGCTCACCCGCCCAGCCACTCAGTCACCGATGCAGTTCAAGACGCTGCTTCTCTTTCTGCTTCTTCCCTCGCAGTGCTCGACTGTGGAATTCCCTCCTTCCACCATCGTCTCTGTTGCTGATATATATATTAATAATGATTGGCCTTCCTCAATTGAACAAACACGTTAAACAAGTATTTATTACAATTTTGGCAAGTGCTGTCGGTTGCTGGCCGTTTTAATGTTTTAATACGTGCGGTATTCATGACATTCTTAGAGCTATCGTGAAGGCTCATCCATAAATTACATCATTGGTCAAGTTTCAATGTGGAATGACGCACAAACATGTTTCAACTAAATCGGTAGCAGTGTAACAACATATTTTCTCTCCATGTGTG